GGATCGATTCTCGAGCACCGATCGACAGTTTCGCCGGGGTGGCATCCTCCGCAAGAAATTCCATCTCGTTTCCAACCTTGTTCTCTCGGGAGAAAACGAGAAAATTTCAACGAAGATACAGTCGATCTTGCATCGTTGGCAATACTCGAGAACTCGTTGGTTTCCGATCTTCTCTCCCCTTGCTCGAGGCACGTCGATGCGGCGTCGTTCGATTACGATCCTCGAGAATTTCATCCACCCCAGCTCCCCTCCTCCTCCTCTCTTCCCCATTTTGATGCAGAAATCGAGCCAACGAGCTTCTCTTCTTTTTCGATGGTGAAATCGAAGGGATTCAACGGGCCAATTCGTCTCGAATCGAAACGAATAGAAGAAGAAAAAAAAAGAAAACGAAATTAACTTAAACGTTAAAGAAGATGAATACTCACTGCCTCTCTTAAAAATTAAAATATCTAAAATAAATATCGTTTCTTCATTTTTCAGAAAAATTCTACTTTTATCCTTCGTAAAGAAATTAGAAAGCCTGTGTAAGTTTTCCAAACGATTTAGAAATAATCTATTTCTTCTAATAAATAGAATATTTTAATTAATCAAACCGGGCGAAGTGATAAAAGAAGAAGGAAAGAAGAATTATCGCTATTAAATTTCTCTTTATATATATATACATACATCTATAAAGTAACAAGATACGAGAAAATATATTTCGCTATGCTTTGATTAATTTAAGAAAGGAAGGACAAGAGGGATGGCAGGAAAGCAAAGAAGACGAAAGAACGAAAGAAACCAACCACGTTCGTTCCAATTACGATTTTTCTTCGTTGTCGCTCGCCTTTCCCGATTCATCCTCCATCGTTCGCCGAGGATCTATCTGGTCCACAGAATTCTTCGTTTATTACCTTCGCCCTTTCACCTTCCTCCACGGAAGGAACGAAACGATGGGAAAAGAGAGAGAGTCTTTTGTATGGAGTCTTGCCAATTTTCGATGTTTCTTTCCATCCTTTTCGCGCTTGCCATGGCCCCGATTAACTATTTCACACGCACATGCGTGTAAACTTAGATCTCTCGTGTTTCCACTCTCCGCTTTGCCTGTTTCCAATTCTTTTCTTTTTTTTTTTCTTTTTTTTCTTTTTCCTTAAGATACGCGAGAAGGCGGTGGCGGGCTCAGGTAATAACGCTCGTTTCATGCGCGCCTCTGTTTCTTTCTTTTGTATGACTTGTGTGTATGCATGTGTGTGTGTGTGTGCTTGTCAGATGTATGTATGTGTGTGTGTATCATTTTTCATGAGTGTGGAGTCGGATCGGGTGGGGGACGAGGGA